GGCAAATTTTTAAGGATTTTAAAGGATTTAAAAGAATTTTCAGAACGAGTATTTTTTCAATAACAATAATTGATAGCCTCTGTGATTACATTGTGCTGTGTGTACAGTGTTTTATAATGTTTTTTCATTAGAAACGCAGGTGCTCAGGTTTTAGAACGTGTGACTTTAGTCCCAAAGGCTTATTGTTTGATCAAGAGCCTAATTGTTTTAGCAATTAGAAGATGCTAGCCAGTAGTTACAAGTTTACCTCAAGTTTGGGAACACCTGTCCATAAGAAAGAAACTTTTCAGGCAGAACTTTTACAGTTTTTGAGAGCTTATTTCACCTAAAGTCATTTTAATTTATATAAGTTTTCTATGAGGTTTGGTAAATTTAATTAGAATGTTTATCATGTACATCAATATGAGTATATATCTATTATATACAAATTTTGAACACCATATGAATTAAAATTGTTTTTTCATTTATAAATTGCAATCACAGGAAAATATGATGAAACATGTATCTCGTGTTTTTGTTTACCTTGCAAAGTTATTCACCTATTTCATTCAGGATGGCAGTATCATATCTCTGCTAATATAACAGTATATGAGTGTGAAGGTAAACCAAACCTGCATTATCGAATGTACAATGTTATGCTTTTAACGGACAGCTATATGCTCTCCCACCGTTCGTAGTATTAATGCATCAGACCATCGTGTTCGTAATGTATTACTGAGCATAGTAAACAGTATTACCAACCCTATCATTAAGTTTTGTTTTCCTAACAGGAACGAGAATACTAATTTATATTTCATAATTACAAAATAGATGAGTTTTAAATTTTTATTTCACATTTTTATAAACAAATATCAACCATTTATTAATATGAAGTATTTTGTCAAACTTGTCTTTCCACTTTTGTATTTTCTTGGGAGCAGACGATAATGTACATCCATTGTAATTAATAGGTTAAATATAACCAATATCGTGACATTATATACTGTATATCCATCACATGGCAGTTGATAGGCTACTGCAGTAAATGCCATGATAAATACCACAACAGTTAATAGATATCATGAATAAAACTGAGTGCACATTTACTGGTATGGAGTTAATGTAACAACAAAGGTTTATCAAAACTACCTTACTATTTAATTGTAATTATCTGTTGATTTATTATGGGTGTATTAGAGGAATATACAGGCAAAAGAGTAGCTGTGCTACAGTATTAATGTAGCGCTTCAAGTTAGAGAAGGTAAAATAATGATCAAAGGTCTGGTCTACTGAATATTCTTTAAGACTCTGCTATTTTATGTACACAAGGGCCTGGTTGATAAGAGTAGGTTGTCTCTGTTTCTTAGTATGTATGGATAAAACATGAGTAAGTTGGTTTTATAAATTGTTTGTATAAGTTTTGATCTCTGAAAGTATTTTATGAGGTGAAACCCGTTTAATAAATTGCTGCTTGGAATGTAATTTTGTAGCGAGTGGGTTTATCATAGACCCATGCATGCTTACAAATACATTAATCAGTTTAATAACGATCGACAGAAATATTTTTTTACTTCTTTATTTGTGTTTCTACTTTATTCGCATTTTTAAACTTTTTAAAGGAACGGACCAAAGCCTGGTCTTGTTTTGTTACTCTCTGACTCGAGTTTTGTTGGATAGCATAATGATTTGATAGCCCAAAGACGAATGGCATCTGGGATCAGAAACTATCTTGGTTAGAATCGAACCAGCGACCTTCAGATTTAAGGCAAGCACTTTCAACCACTTTGCTAAAGACAATTTCTGTATACGGATGCACTTGCTATCGCTAAAATTGTACGATCACGAACCCGTGCATACGAATTGTTTACTAATATTAGACAGTTCATTCTAATAACTAATTAATGTCAAACATACGATGGACTCGCTATATTTAAGACACAATTTTACACAACCTTCAATTCAAATGTATTACAATTAATTCCAAGACGCAAGTTACAATGTTTTGCTTAATTATTTATTCAGAGATACATATAATTGTCCATACGAATTAATTAGAAACAACAAAACACAATTTAATATGCACAATGAGTAAGGTGGATGGTTCCAAAGTTCTGCACACTAATTAGAGACAATTCCAAGTTAATTATTCACAATTTGGTGAACTTTTGAAACTTTAATGCGTGGTATTAATATTGCCTACATATCCCCTGGTATATTAAACTTGTTTATAAATCTCATGTACAATTTAGAATTAGGATGAAAGTACAAACAAGGCTTCACCAATGTACAATAACTGGTAGGCCTACACGAAGATATGTTGTGATTCGCACACGGAAATTAAATGTTAATGCTGAATTGTGTTTTTTTATGCACTTTATCTTACACGTAGAGGTCATATACATATACATGTACAGTTATGCGTAGATAGTTAAACTCCTGCATACGATATGTAATCTCTTAGTTTACTTGTTTTTCATTAATGAGCAAAGCCATTCGATAGTTCCGCATTAAACATCAACTAGTTGCTCTGCCAGTGCTTCTATTTCCAATACAAATACACATACACATTCACACTATATACGAGCCAGCACTAGACATGTTAAATTAGTAAAACACAAAAATACATACACACCCGCATACAATGTACAGTTTCTTTGACGTGATAATTAGTAATGTAGAAAAACATAAAACTGCAAAAATATACAGTGGATGCATTAATAAAAAATGTCTACTTACATACTATGCATAAAATAAACTAGCAGCATCACTAAACTCAGCACATTATATGAATCAGTTGCATAAAGATATTCAGTCACACCTGCATTAATAGTCTATACAGTCGCTCTGTTGACATGTATCACACGAAAATCCATACCAGTACACATTTTGACATGATATACAGTCCCTCATAACATGTTAATGATTAACTAAAACAACATACAGGCCTGCATAAACATATGTCCCACAGCACGTTAATCCGTTATGCACAAAGGTAAACACACCCACATACAATACACAATACCACATTACATATGTTAGTTGGTAATGCACAAATACAAACACATCAGTATACAATGTACATTCATTTATTTGACATGTTCACTATTAACGAACAATAGCAGAAACATGTTACCCCGATCAGTAAGGTAAACACACCCACATACAATACACAATCCCATATTACATATGGTAATTAATAATGCAAAAATGCAAAGACACTTGCAATTTGTTGTTTACACAGTTGGCATTTTAACTATTACTGCAAAAAAAAATCGGTTACACCTGCGTACAATATACAGGCCATAATTTTACAAGTTTACGATTAACCCATAACGCCACACATACTTTCGCAAGACATTTTGGGTCTTTTTTAGAAGAGGGCTGCCACTATTTAAAGTTTCCCTACACGATTAATGGTTTTTGTAGTTATTTTTGTTTAGTACATTAAAAACGTGTAAGTAAAGGTATAAACTAACATAACCTAACCTAAACTGTGGTTGTTCCACAGTTTAAATAGTGGCGACCCTCTTCTGAAACAGACCCGACATTTTAGTTCCACAGTCGTCAAGTTAAGCAATCATGCACATAGCTAAGCGTAATTTAGACAAGTGATGCGCAAAAAAGTAACATTTTATATATTAACTAGCTGACCCGGCGAACTTCGTATCGCCTAAGTTATAGGTTTCCCCTAAGACAGACCGATGGTAAGAAAGTACCGTTACGTTTAATTTTCAAGATGATCTCGTTCGCATCGCTCAATCACGTCCTGGTTGAAGTTCGTTCGCTACGCTCACTCACCTTTGGGTTGGAGCTCGTTCGCTACGCTCACTCACCTTTGGGTTGGAGCTCGTTCGCTGCGCTCACTTGCCTTCAGGTTAGCTCGTTCGCTACGCTAACTCGCCTCCAGGTTGAAGTTCGTTCGCTACGCTCACTCACCTTTGGGTTGGAGCTCGTTCGCTGCGCTCACTTGCCTTCAGGTTAGCTCGTTCGCTACGCTAACTTGCCTCCAGGTTGAAGTTCGTTCGCTACGCTCACTCACCTTTTGGTTGCAAATTAGCTGTTGTCATAAATGTAAAAGAAATAATAGTGCTGCACCCTGTTGGTAATCCTTGTAACTTTAATGCTATTGAACATCATAGAACAGAACCAACTTGTTTAATTGAAACAGCTGTTAAGATTCATTAATTCCATTTCTCATAAGGTTAACATGGGAAACTCCAGAGCCACTGGGGCGGAGCCCTTTTAAGAATTTCGAAACGGGAAATAGTTTACGTCCGATTCGCATACCTACAGAATTTACACACCAAATTTCATAACGATCGGTGAAGTCGTTCCGGAAGAGTTTGCAGACAAACACTGTGACACGAGAATTTTATATATTAGAAGATAGGCAAGCATGTTTCTTGAAAACCTTTTTTCTCAGCTCGTGTGCATCGCAGAAAAATCTACGCATACTGTTAGAAATATATTTTCCTGTAGATGTGCAGAAACCCTTTATAAAAATAAGCACAAAAATATGAATTTAATTTTTTTTATCAACATGGGCCTTATGGGTTGCCATGCCGGTGACGAAATAACAAAGAAATAATACACATAAAATTAAAACAAATGGAAGAAATTCCAATCACATGTTTTATTTACAGCGTGGTGTGAAAGAGTGGTGATAGAGTCTGTACATTAAATATTTTCGGCCGAGTTTTCTACCACTGGACGACCTCTAGTCTACATAAATATACAGTCCCACAGCGCCCAATATTAATCAGAAACGCACAAACACATTAATAGTCTACACTACGTTGATTCTCAAGATGGTACTTACGTATTATACCGACCACACCGATAAATTAAATTCAAATAAGATTTTGATTATCTTAGATAACAAAATTTTCGTAGCCTAATCTAAAACACCGTCTATGCTTAGGTAAGGTTAGGTTATAATAGGTGTAATCACTGTAATACGTAAGTACCCTCAAGATAAGCCCACCCACACAAACACACATGGTAATTACACAAATACACACCTGCATACGGACCTGTATACGGGTGTCTCTGCGAGCCACGGCCACCACGGTCATCCCGCCAGTGACCAGTGCCCTGATGATCGCAGCGCCGGTGTTGGAGCTCGCTCCGGTCACCACGGCCACCCTGCCGTGCCATCGGTCCATCCTACACTGCTCACTCTCACTGCCACTGGACCACCGCACGACACGCCCACGTAATAGCTTTCTGATCAAATAACCGACTCAATGACGTGTTCAATGTACCGTGGTCGTAGGTGTACAGTTCCAATCAGTTGGACGATTGTACGCCCCTCTCCACCCTACCGTGCACTACAGGTTCAACCTGAGCTCTTGTGGACTTAAGTAATAATGTTTGGTTGAAAATATTGACTATTAAGAATTCTAAAGTGTCATCACATAACTGTTACTGGATTTTAAAATCCGTATAAATTAAATTGAATGCCAATAGAATCATTATAGTAGATTACGCAGCGATCGCGTAAGGATTTTGCTAACGACACGATTAGAACATTTTAGATACGAGCCTTGCCTTAAAAACTTCTACGAGTGTCGCTAGGACTATTTACACGAGTTGCGTACCTACGACAGTGTTTTAATTACTAACAATCACTACTCATAGCTTCCAAGAGAGGTTATGTTTTCATTTATAACCTCTCATTGCCATTGATTGGGTTGCAACGACTTACCCAACCACTCATGAATTGTTTAATCAATTACATTTGTCTTAACAGCTGATAAATTGACGTTCTAAATATTATAATTTTACTTCTTTTTCCTCAATCATTGAACCTCATTGGTCCGTTACTCTTGTTGTAAAGTAAAATAACAATTCCGTTAAGTGAGTCTTTTCGATTCTTAAGAATTGATCTGAAACGGCTAGTTAAAAAAAAAACTCGTGTGTAACAGCTATTTACGTTACAAGTGTTGTAGTAAGAGCGTTTTTACGTCACGCAGGTGAATGTTATAAGTGACCTAAGTGATGTAAACACGCTCTTGCGTAACGTGTAACTTACAAGATTTTACCTGACCCGACAATATACAGGGGGCTACGTACAATATTTTATATTATCCATTTCATTAATCTTCTAACAGTAACGTTCTTTTACAAACAAAGGCTAGGTTAGGAAAATACTTTAAAGCATATCAATAACATTCAAGCGCACAGCTGATTTCTAGATTTTCTAGATTCTAGATTTCTGATTTTAAACCAAATATGAGTGAAGAATGGGGTGTGCTGCGATCAAATCAAACAATCCAACATGTGTTACTAATGTTGTGACTTTTCAGTGACATAGGTTTCTACAGACAAATAAATGCTTTCAAAGCTGTGTAAAGTATTTCATCAGCTTAATCAGAAAATTAGCGCTCAAATTTAAATACTTTCAATTTACACAGAGATCATAACAATCCTGGTTTTATTTATTTTACATAATATCACACACAGTAAACATAAAAAAACGCGATTACTTTTTCATTGTAACATATGTATAGAAGTTTCCATTTCATAGAAATTCCTGCAAAAGCTATTAAGAATAAAGATTATAGTTGTACAGAATATTTTTTTATCTTTAGTTATGAGTATTTTCAAGGACGGTTATATTGCATAGATCTAAAGTTACAAATCTATAGGCTCAATTAGTTTTTAACAAATAACAATAACTCTACTTTCAAAATTGATATAAGCTTTACCTTAGCTGTAAAGATTAAGCTACAATCAATTTAACTTCTACTGAATGTTTTTAACAAGAGGATTTAAAAAATCTATAGTTTCCAATCTTTATATGAAATAATTTCAATCAATTTAATTTTAATCTGAAAGCCATAAATCACCGATTGATCCTGACAATTCAGTTGATCAAATTTTTGTTTTTTGTCCACCCGAAGCCAATAGCAAGCTGAAAGCCATAGCTGTATTCCCAAGTGCTTGAATTGAAAACATAGCATTGTGGGAGTGTGGATTACTGGATCACCATTCGTCCCGGTGGATATACCGTTTATTTACATTCGTGGATATTTGAATCCTTCGGGAGTAATATTTAACTCTGGTGTCCGATTTTGGTAGTATTGTACTGCCATGTCAATCCATAAGTTTATTCTGTTTAAATATGTATTATTTCATAACAAGCATATGATTTGTTTGTTGTGTTTACACCGTTGGCATTTTTCACGTAGTCTAAGGGAACGGTTCAAACTCTAGTTTTGTTAGTATCTAGTACCTTTTGTTGTATAGCAGGATTAATTGATACCCAGTGGTGAATGGAGATCTTTATTTGTAATTACAGAAACTTCGCTTGGAATTGAACCAGCGACCTTCAGGTTTCAAGGTGACCACTTCCACTCGGCATCTTAGAATTTTTTTACCACACTATTATATTAGCTGTTTTACATACGTTAATTGCAGGCTGAAAATAACGTTTAGCTGGCCATGCCAGCTCTAATCGTCATTTGGGGACCGAGCAGGTTTTTACATCCCTAGTGCCGCAAAATCAGCTGCCCGCTTATTTTCTCAAAACATGAATGCATATTAAATACACAATCAGTATCCATAGCATTGCAATTGAATTGTTTTATAGTCACCGCTGCCTAACTACTATTTATTATTATTTTTACTGATTCCTAAAATTATTTCTCCACATTAAAGTTGTAGTTGTGTTGTCTACCAGTGTAAATTATTATTTTGTTGAAAAGTTGTAATAGGGTGGAAAATAGCGTTTGTAACACGGTCCGAAATGGTTTTGCAGCTCTCGATCGTTTTTAATTTTTAACTATCTCGAGCCGGCAAAACCCCATTATATTAGATCATTGTTGACCATAAATAATAGTTTGTCACGGAATATTATTATAGGTAGTGATTCTGCAATTATGGAATCTAATTCTGTAGGGTTAATCAGTCTATTAAAAAACTTTTTCAACCTGCATCTATAAATACAACTCAATTAACTGAAATGGGTCTGTACTCCGACTAAAGCCACTTAGCCATTAAAGTGAATGTAGTGGTTTAATAATTTATTTTTGTAAAAAAATACAACCGACTTCAAACGCTCTAAAAAGAATGAAATAATTTCAATAAAGTAAAAACTTTTGTATTAGGCAAGCTCACGTATTTTAAGTCGGCGCAGCTCTATGATGATTTTTGATGCAAAATTGAAAGAGGGTGTCCATATTGCAGGTGACTATCTACTTACGTACTTATAACTAAAGGTGTTAATCTGCATGTCTTTTTCATAGTTATGCGTTAAGTGTTATTTTATTACCGTAATCAGAGATCGGTATTATAGTGGTATTAACGAGTATATTTAAAAAGATTATAACGCATTTAAATTTTTCTAACTTGGAAAAGTAACGTTTTAATACTAAACTAGCTTCTTTTCCCTATCATAATATCAAACTAAATTATTTTCCTATTCATATAGAACATTTATTTGTGTGTGTTATCTTCATAATGCATTTATTCTGAAGTAAACATAAAATACAAGAAAATATTTCCTTTAATATATAAACAATAAAACAGTTCAGTATGTTTTTTATATATTTATGTTATCCAGCTACAATTTATTGATTTTCAAAATACACACACATCAATCATATTTGCAGTTTGAGCCGCGCCGACTTGAAACACGTGAGCTTGCCTAATACAAAAGTTTTTACTTTATTGAAATTATTTCATTCTTTTTAGAGCGTTTGAAGTCGGTTGTATTTTTTTACAAAAATAAATTATTTCATGATTTTAGTGACTGTATATTTTTTTATATATTAATTGCTTGAGGATTTTCGATAAGCAAAACTGTTTGAAACAATCAAAAGTTCCACAGAACAATCATTATTTTAAAACTGCTTGAGTCACCTGTTCAGGTTACATAATCAATGGGTATGGAAATAAACATCTTTAGATATTCCTTAAGAAAGAAAGAGTTGTCCATTACATTAGGCCTAATGAAAAACTAATTGTCTTTTCTAGATACATTGAAATGTCAGACATCATCGTTTCCTGCAATCGGTGTACTTCTACATTATAAAAAGAAATACAGTAACGTCTCAAGCCTTTTGGAACAATATGAAAGTTATTCCTCAGCTACCAGCACTAAAAAATCTCTCAAAAGTGGAAAATTGGTCGTTAACACTATAGTACCTTTCGTATAGTACCTTCTGGAAAATATTATATGAAAGATTGGTTCAACTAAAAGTGGTGTAAGTCATGTAGGGGGTTTTGTTTGCTCAAGATATAGCCTAGTCGAAATTGCAAATCATCTTCCTCTAGGACTTTCCGAAGCAGGCATAATAGTATTGATGTGTTATAGTAACTGGGTAGAGAATATTAATAAACATTCCACATCTGCAAATGAAATATGTATATGAAAGATTGGTTCAGCTAAAAGTGGTGCAAGCCATGTAGGTGGTTTTGTTTGATCAAGATATAGCCTAGTCAAAATTGCAAATCATCTTCCTCTAGGACTTTCCGAAGCAGGCATAATAGTATTGATATGATATAGTAACTGGGTAGAGAATATCAATAAACATTCCACATCTGCAAATACATGTTTAGTAATTAAAATATTTAACACTTTTAAGACAATTGACGATTATGCACTGTCACACTTCTTAGGTCGTGTAAGGAATAATTGCATTTGATTTATATTTAGACCTGTTTTACGAATGCTTTGGTTTTCACAATACACCTTTATTTGTCAACAATATCATACAGCTATTCACTGAAACATATATGTTTTTGTAAGTCAGAATATTCAATACTAAAACAGAATTACTGTATACACAAATCAGGTAAAACGTTAAAATACATTTTTTATAGTAACCTAAACAAAATGCATTTTTCTCAATTTCATTTAGGCTCCATGGCAAGAAATATTTTATTGATCAATATGAAGCAACTGTTTCATGAAGAGTTGTCTGTAGCTTCATTTAAATGGTTTCAACTAACAGCTGTAGGAATGTTATTATGATTTATTGCCTTCTCTGCACAAATGTAAACAATTGCACAAATGTAAACAAAATAAATGTTAAATATTTAAGGTTTCCAGAATTTTTCACCGAAACAAATATTATACTTAAACATAATATATAAGGTACCAAATAGAAACTCTCCTGGTTATTTTGGTGGTGGAACCACACTGATCGGTAAAAGAATCACAGAGA